CAACCAGAATGTGCTGCTCCAAACCTCCAACCATCAAAGGGCAACGCTAAATTACTACTTTACTCGGTGTAGATCAACTTCCTGAGTTGTAAATTGTACTATCTCACGGCTTAGTTTAAGTCACTCTTGCGTATAATATAAGATACACCATACATGTGGGATAGCTTGCTGCATCTGGGTAAGCTTCCAAGCTAGATGCAGCTCGGTACCATTTCCTTGCAAGTACGAATCTTAACGCAGGCACGACAGATTGAAACAAGGACAAGGGGAAAATGGCGCAAGCATCCCAACCACCCTTGTCTGACCACCGAGTTACCTGAAACACTCATGCTTGTTTTTATTATACAGCTGCATTTTCATTATATTTACGTTTCGTACATTTTTCAGCGTTTGTTATCCAAAGAAGGCATAATTTTACTTGGAAAAAACGCGAAAGTCGTTTTACTCTTTATGATGTATATACCCGTTCTTTACGTATCAATAGTAATTAGTTATGGAAAAAAATAATAGCAATGATAGCTACTCCTATGTGATACACCGTAAACCAACAAACTAGTTCAAATGCAACCTACACAAATTGATAAAAAAAGGAAACTAACCATGAATAGTAAATTTGTACTATTTAGTGAATAAATTGTTTTCCTTTCTTCCTATGTGGATCGAATTTGGAATTGATTTTTTTCTCAGCACAATAGATAAGTGATGTATTCAACACAATCATTTTCTATATATTTTTAATTATTTGAGACGTAAAAAAGGGAACATACCCATAAAGGAAAAATGGTAGTTCCAAAAGTAGGTTGTGTTTTAATATACTCACATGTTGCAAAGACATAGCTAGTCCCATCATTTTTATAGTAGCTGATTATGAGCCATAATATTTATTAGCGACTTAAAAAGTAAATTTAAATTAAGGGTAAAGTTAACCTTTAAAATTTAAATTTTGCCTGCAGCTTGTAAGTTGAGCAAACGATGGATCGTAATGTGGTACTTAATTATTGATGTTGGTATGAAAGTATAATATAGTATTAAACTTAAGACTGTAAAAACTCTTATTTTTTTTGTGTGCACGCCTATACAGATTGCTCAACAGATCCAACTTCATAATTTGGTAGTAGTAGTTAAGCTATACCCACACGGAGAGGAGTAAAAACCAAACTAGGCTGTGTTATTCCCTCATTTTCCTAACCCACCTCTCTCTCGTTTTTCACGTGCACGCTTTTCAAACCGCTAAACGGTGTGATTTATAAAAAACTTTCTATATGAAAGTTGTTTAAAAAAAATCATATTAATCCATTTTCAAAAAAATTAGTTAATACTTAATTAATTATGCAATAAAACGAACTTCGTTTTGCGTGCCGGGGAGGAGGGGTTCCCAACCCTCTCCTCCGAACACAGCCTAAGAGCAAGTACAATAGCAGCTATAAGCCAGCTATAACCACACATCGAGAAGAAAAGATAAGAGAGAGGAGAAAGCGGGCTACAGATTTATAGCCGGCTGCAACACGGACTTCAAGACGTTATGTGTGTATGAGAGGGGAGACCGGATATTAACGGTGTAGTATATTTTTATAGTTAACTATTGTATAAATGGGTTATTAGATTAGCTATAGTTGTTTAAAGCTAATAATTTGTTTTACTATTAAACTTGCTGTAAGGAAACAGAAAAACCGATCGACTAGCTGGCGGGGTTGATTGGCCGCGTGGTTTTCTTCCACCGCGCGCGCGAGCACGATGCATGGATGGTGCATCGTGTGGTGGTATTACCTGGCTGGCACGAGAGAGGAAATTTCGGATGGAGGTTGGGACTTTGGGAGGGGGCCGCGCCGGGGTTTTGGTGGGGGATCCGCGATAAGCGTCCGCCATGTTCTGTAGCAACGCCACCGCCTCCTCCCGTCGCGTGGGGGGTGGACCCCACGCCACAGCTGGTTCGGTGTATTCTTGTCTCGTACGGTTCTTTTGCCTGCCGCCTCCCCCGTTCTCTCCTTCCTTCTCCGTCCCGGCCCGTCTCTCTGTAAATCTGTAATCTCTACGTCTCTGACTCTGCCCATGGCGTGATTAACCTTTTACCCACGTAACAACAGTAATTAATTGGTCGATCGATCGATCGTCTGATCTGCAAGTTCCTTCTACGTCTCCACCATGGAGAGAGAGAGAGTGAGAGAGAGAGGGGGGGGGGGGGGAGGTCCATAGCTTGTTGAAGGTCACTTTTTCCCCAAATAAGTCTGAGATACGGTTTGTGAGATTATATAATCAGTTTATTGTGGATATGCAGAGTATTATATGTAATCAGTTTGGCAGGTGGAGTATATTGGAGTCTTAATCAAGATCGTAGAAAATTAGGAAGTATCGATAGGCCCTTTTTCTGCATGCGCACGCAATAATTCGGCAGACAATAACTCTCATCAAATGTAGGAATAGTATTAACATGCGTGCCTATTAGATAATGGTACAGTATAAGATCGAGTCATAACAGCACCACAACACCGAACATTATCTCTTTAGTTAGATACTCTCAGTTCATATTATAAAGCGTTTTGATCTTTTCTTACTTATATTTTGTTAAGTTTAATTAAATTTAATTAAATCTCTTCAGTGATGACGCTGGCTGAGTAATGTATTTACCTCTTTCCCTGCAAAAAAAATTTGATTAAATTTATAAAAAAAAGCAACATCTCAAATTAGTTTTAGTAAATCTAACATTGTATATATCTTGATTATATGTTTATTTTGTGTTAAAAAATATGTCGGGACCCAAGGTCACGGACAAGATTGGGGATAGACGGGAAAACATCCTTTTCCCGTCTATCCTGAGAAATGAGCCCGAATACCAAATGAACACACACTAAGTGACAAGACTTTTAGTATTCCGAGATATCTTGCCTGCTACACGCTTTTTGTCTACTTTATATAGTTCACAGCTTTACATGTGAGATTACAATTGCGCCCTTTGTTGGGCCCACATAAAATTACAATCATGCCCTTGCTATATCAGCTAACACTAAGGGCATTTTGGTACATTATGGAGGTCATTATAGTCTTTTGGTGCCAGCTGGATGAAGTGGTTGAGTGGTCCTCGGGAATATTCTCTTGGCATCTTTGTTGTCCAAATTGCCTTCTTCATGATCAAGAGTCTTTTCCACCACCATGGGTCTTCTCCTCGACCGAGGGTCTTTTCCACCACCATGGATCTTTTCCATAGCAAATAGTCTTTTCCAGCTCGACCACCCTTTCCGACTTATCCGGTAGCTGACCTGTTGTTAACTCAGGAAATACTCAAAACGGATAATGAGATTTAGTGACAAGAATGTACTCGAACGGTATTTTCCGACTCGAATAGTATTTTCCAATTCGAACAGCGTTTTACCGTTACCCTGTTCGAATGACCATTTGCCACTCGGAGACTATTCTAACTCAATCTCTTCCTCTACAGTGTTTTGGGCTGAATATAGAGGAGCGGTGGTGACCCCCTGCTACAACAAGCCCCTCACGGGTAAGGGCGATGTGTGTTTTCGGCCGAAACCGTGTTCGAATCAAAAGCTGGGGGAGAACCGCCGTCCTCCTATTCGGTCGAAAAAACACTGGGACATAAAAATTTGAAGTTCGAAGGTGGTTATTCTTGTTAATCATTATGCATTTATTTGTTTGTTATATATATATATATTATTTATTTTGTGTATACATATTCTTTATGTATTGAATATGCACATTTATTATGATGCTTGAATGTGTGCCACATGTCAGCTTTGTATTGGATGGTTGGAAGGTGAAGCGCCGCTTCGGGGTTCACGCCCGCTCACAACCGCGACCCCCCACCCCCCAGACCTATATAATGTCCGCAGGGGTCGCTTTCAGCCGGCTACTGTGCCGTCCTATACTTGACTCGAATCTGTCTTTGCTCGAAAAACACTCTTTCCAGTTGAAGACATCTTTTTCTCTTGACTACCCTTCTTCGTGATGGGAAAAGACAAGCAGAAAACAAATAAGAAGGGCAAATAAAAAAAGGTCGAAAAACCCGAGAGAAGTGGGATTGTCTTGGGCCCTTCGGCCATCAAAGACAAGCATTTGAATGACCTTGTTCAAAATGGGGTCGTTTCGAACCGGAAATTTTTGGTTTGACCTGTTGGCGAGTCTGATCCTTCTCCCAAGCCTGGATATACACTAGTTTTCGAAGGTATCTTTGAGGCTGGCTTCAGATTTCCGTGCAGCCCCTTTCTGATCGAAGTGTTAAAGATATTCAAACTCGAGTTCCCACAACTTACCCCCAATGTGCTTGTGCGCGTGGGAATCTTCGAATGGATGATTCGGAGTTGTGGTGGGAATCCTCGTGCCGAGGATTTTGCATATTTCCACAGCATCCGCCGCTACACCAAGCAAAATTCGAAGTTCGGTTGTCTCAACTTCTCCCCCCATTCGAAGCATGGATGCCCTTGGCCAGCCGTACTTGCCATTCGAATTAAATGGGGGAACAAATGGCAGTCTAGGTGGTTTTACCATCAGATCCCTGCCAACCTTCTTGCTGACAAAGAGTGTCCTTTCACTTTCTCTTGCAAGATCGCTAAGGTTATAGTCGAACCGCCAGCGGCTCTTACAGCGGATTTTCTTTCTATTCGCTCTCGAATGGAAGAACTTGTCTCAAAGTTCAGCGTTCGAGACTTGGTGGAAGAATTTGTTTGCCTTGGCATTCAGCCACTCACAGCCGAGTGGACTATTCTCTTAGGACAAGTGCCAAGAGAAGCCGCTTCGACTTTGCCTCCCTTTGAGGTTGATCCGAATAGTAAGTTTTCATTTTCTCTTTCGGTCGAACACATTCATGTTATTTATTAAGTTCGAACATTTTCCTTCGAATGTTTTGTACTTACATTATGTTTTTTTTGTTTGCTATAGCTGTTATTCCTACAGACATTGTCCACCCTTGTCGGAAATATCTTAGTCCTTATACCAAAGATGAGCACGCAAAGTACCAATCCTTGCAAAATGGTTTAAGGATGAATCGAGTGATGTCCGCCCTTGGACTCGATATTCCTGCTCGAGTTCATCCTGAGATTGTCCCTGACTCGGGCAAGAAAAAGAAAAAGAAGAAAGCTGCGAGGAAAATGTCTTCTGATGAAGACGATATTGAAGTTGAGGAAAACGAAGAAAATACAGATAACGACGGTAATGATGGGAATGAAGAGCATGTGGAGAATGAGGAAAATGAAGGGAATAAATCCGGCGAAGGTAGCTTGAGCAGTGATGATGACTCGAGTGACAGCTCAAGCGATGACTCGAATTCATCGTCAGATGAGGAAATTGCCTCGGTCGTCCCTCCTGCCCAAGCTGCTCCAAGTGTTTTGAAGAGGAAAATTAGTCCTAGCGGTTCCCTTCAGATTGTTGTCGACAGTGATGATGAGATTGACAAAGACAACACTCTAGTTGACATTTGTGCCATAAACGTCACTCCCCTTCGAGCTGACGCCAGCCTTGCCACGCCTGCTAATGCTATCGCCCCTTTGGATGTGCTTGCATCGGTTGCAACGGTGGTTGAGAAAAATGTCGAAGCTGATCTGGTTTGAGCAACTGATTCGAGCAATCTTCCCCATGGTGGTGACAAGTCTCCCACTATTGAACTTCAAACTTCGGTTCAAATAGCTCAAGACTTAGAGAGTGGGAAGAAAATTGTTGAAGAAACTGTTCAACCTGACCAAGTAGAGGAGAAGGATGCCGAAATACATTCCCCTCCCTTTCTATCAACTCCTTCCCCCCAGATAATCCAAGATGTTCTCGGTGGATTTAGTGAGCGATGCACGAAAAATGGTCGATGGCTAATGGGACTACCTAATTTCTCCGATTTGGGGGAAAATAGCCATCTCGGTTCAAATTTTTGCATAAATTACCTGAAATATCGCCACCCGCTCGGTTCTGTTGGGGATGAGCTCAAGAAAATACTCATCACTCCCGAACTGGAGAAGGAATTTGTCGAGGAAAACGATCTTATGTCTTCCTGGGCTGCACTTGATGTCTCTGCCGCTCAGGTATTCTTTTCCTATTTTACTCGAACCGATTGTTTTATTACTTCATTTCTATGTTGCTCATAGTTCTTTTGCTTTTTGTTTTTTAGACTTCGACCATCGCCTGGCTTCAATGTGGTGTTTCCATGAAAGCACTCACAGCAATATGTGTCCGGCGGAAGAAATCGCTCGAACGCATAGCTAAACTTGAGAAAGACAGAGAATTTCTCCGCCATGAAGTCGAGCGTGTCTCAGATGAGAAACAGGTTGCTGCCGATCTTGTTCGAAAACTTAGCAGCGACAAAAAGGGTTTAATCGACGAGAAAAGGTCTTTCATCGAAGAGAATAAAAAACTTCATGCCCACATAAAGATTCTCGAACAGTCGGTGGCTGATCACCAAGAAGTTTCTCGGGAAAGAGCCATTTCTGCAGATAAGCTTAAGGAGCAACTTGCTGCTTCAGAAAAAGAGAACAAGCAGCTCGAACTGGCTCGTCTGAACCAAGAAGAGAAGAATTCCTCCCTCTTGAAAGAACTCGAAGATTGCCGTTCGAAGCTTTTGGAGAGTTGCAAGATGGTTCAAGACGCTGTGCAAAAACTTGGAGCTAATGTAAGCCTTCCGGCCGACAATAGTACATTGTCTGTTCTTGCCAATTGGGTCGAAGAATCATCGACTGGTTTGGTTGATGGTATTGAGCCCTTCGCCTCTCGTTGTTCAAAGATCTCCGCCGAGGCTTTATCGGCTAGTCTTCTTTCGAACGGATGTGACCATTTCTCTGGTTTAAAGGAATCCATCACCGACTTACTTGGCGATGAGTCAAAATTTGCTCAACACCGTGCGGCAATTCGATCTGTCGTCAAAGCTTTTCAAGTTTGGTATTGGAAAAATAGAGGCTATGAAGATACCCTTGCTTCTCTCTGGGCATCGTTGGCTTCGAGCTCACACACCACACAATCCTCTTCGAGCCAGCCAGACGACGGTGGTGATGCTCACATATCTGATTCGCAGGTGTGAAGTTTTTAGGGTGAACTAACTGGGAAAACACTATATGTGTTTGAAAGTACTATTATTTTGCTTGATCGAACCTATTATGGTCGAAAACTTATTTGTGTATATTCTAAATATGCTTGGGTATCACTAGCTATTTTCTCTGTATGCCTGTGCTTCACCATCATTTCGTTTTTGTCGGGGATGCAGGTTTATTTGAACCGAAAAGTTGTGGTTCGACGCAACAAATGTCGTTCAACTCGAAATGGGAAGCACATAGCATTTCGAACACACGAGGAGTTGCTTTTTCCTCAAGCAACTAATTGTGATGATGAAGAGAAGAAAATATATTACGATGACACTTGTATTTTTTCTTTTAAATTTTTCCAATGGCAAAGAGAACATCAAGATGGCAGTTTGCGCGACTTCGTTGTCGAGTTTAGAAAACGACGTTCGAATAATGCTTTGAGTAGCATTGATTTTTGGCAAACTTTTAGACCATCTGAGCGTCAACTTAGAATATGGAAAAGGCGCTACTCAATTGTCCCTTACACGGGAATGCCTTATCCTCTCAATGTCATTTTTCCTTCTTCTTTTCCTTTTTAAATAGGGAATCAGATGTAATTTGTCATGTTATCTTCAATAAAACTTCTTCCGAATACTTTTCTGATTCAAGATAACTAAGGTAGAGAATTGTTCGAAAAGTTCCAAACTTCTCACCTTTCGAAGTAGTGACGAGGTCGAAACCACGCTTTACCTCGTCGCGTGAATTTTCCACTTTTCGCTCGAATCGGATAAGTGTTTGAGCGTTTTATCATTAAGTTTTCGGACGAAGGTAAAATCTGTTCGAAAACCGCCATCCTCCTTACCTTTTGAAGAAGTGACGAGGTCGAAATCACGCTTTACCTTGTCGCGTGGATTTTCCACTTTTTGCTCGAATCGGACAAGAGTGTTCGAGCGTTTTATCGTTAGGTTTTCGGACGAAGGTAAAATCTGTTCGAAAACCGCCGTCCTCCTTACCTTTCAAAGAAGTGACGAGGTCGAAAACACGCTTTACCTCGTCGCGTGGATTTTCCACTTTTCGCTCGAATCAGATAAGAGTGTTCGAGCATTTTATCGTTAGGTTTTCGGACGAAGGTAAAATCTGTTCGAAAACCCGCCGTCCTCCTTACCTTTCAAAGAAGTGACGAGGTCGAAAACATGCTTTACCTCGTCGTGTGGATTTTCCACTTTTTGCTCGAATCGGATAAGAGTGTTCGAGCGTTTTATCGTTAGGTTTTCGGACGAAGGTTAAATCTTGGCGCGTAGGATTTACTCAATTGTTATCGAGTTTAGCTTTTCTCCGAAGCATGCGGAGTGTTTTCTCGATTTTCTATCGAGTTTGATTTTCCTCTCTGAAGCGTGCGGAGTATTTACTCTTTTTGCTATCGAGTTTGATTTTCCTCTCCGAAGCGTGTGGAGTGTTTTCTCGATTTTCTATCAAGTTTGATTTTCCTCTCCGAAGCGTGCGGAGGATTTTCTCGATTTGCTATCGAGTTTGATTTTCTCTCCGAAGCGTGCGGAGTGTTTACTCGATTTGCTATCGAGTTTGATTTTCCTCTCCGAAGTGTGCGGAGGATTTTCTCGATTTGCTATCGAGTTTGATTTTTCTCTCCGAAGCGTGCGGAGTGTTTACTCGATTTGCTATCGAGTTTGATTATCCTCTCCGAAGCGTGCGGAGGATTTTCTCGATTTGCTATCGAGTTTGATTTTTCTCTCCGAAGCGTGCGGAGTGTTTACTCGATTCACAAACACACAAGACAAGTTTTTTATACAGGTTCGGGCCTCCATTATGGATAACAACCCTACGTCCTGTTTATATGTATTAACATCGAGAAGACAACAGAATTTTACAAGGTGGTCGGTGTTGTACACTTCGAGCAACATGTTTTCCTTTTTTTTTCTCTTCTTTTTTTTTCTTTTCTTATTTTTTTTCTTTTCTTCTTTTTTTTCTTTTCTTCTTTTTTTTACACATAGAATTTCTTCAAGGAAATAGCATTCCAAGTGTGCTTTAACTCTTCTCCATCGAGGTGTGCCAGCTTGTATGCTCCTGTTTCTAACTTCCTTTTTACTATGAATGGTCCTTCCCATTTCGATTCCAACTTTTCAACAGCCACTTCATTGAGTGTTTTCTTGAGGACCAAATCACCTTCTTCTATTTGCCTGATTTTCACTTTTTTGTTGTAATAGCTTTTGGTTCCTTCTGTGCTTTGTGCCATTTTTTCTAATGCTTCCACTCTTATCTCGTCTAGCATTTCCAAGGTGATTTCCCTTCCTTCCTCGTCTTTTTGATCAAACACAACTCGAGGTGAATTCGCTCCCACCTCGCTTGGTGTCATTGCCTCATCTCCATATACTAGCCTGAATGGAGTCATGCCAGTTGATCGAACAACTGTCGTTCTTAAAGCCCAAAGGACTGACAACAGATCTTCTGGCCATTTTCCTTTGGTAGAACCTTCCAGCCTTTTCTTTATAGCTTCTACTATTTTCCCATTTGCTCTTTCAACGGCGCCATTTGTTTGAGGGTGACCCACAGAAGCAAAGTTGATTTGCAAGTTAAGACCTTTGCACATATCTTTGAATTTCCCTGACTCGAATTGTTTTCCATTATCACACACTATCTCCTTGGGTATTCCAAATCGGCATATAATGTTCTTCCAAACGAATTTTTGTACCGAAGCAGATGTGATTCGTGCTACTGCCTCTGCTTCAATCCACCTTGAGAAATACTCAATTGCCACAATGACAAAACGTAAATCTCCTTTTGCTCTTGGTAAAGGACCTACTATATCTAGTCCCCATCTGTAAAATAGCCGAACCGGGGGAATTGGTTGCAACTCTCTTGGTGGTGCTTTTGACGTTGCACCAAATTTTTGGCATGCCTTACATGTTTTAATGTACTTCTCTTTGTCCTTGATGATCGTGGGCCAATATACTCCTTGTCTTATCACCTTCGATGCAACTGATCTTGGTGCTTGATGGGCTCCGGACAACCCTTCATGTATTTCTACCACCATTCTCATCCCTTCTTCTCTTGTTACACATTTTAGCAAAGGGGCAGTGACTCCGCTCTTGTACAGCTGCCCTTCTATCACCTTGTACTTCCTTGACATTAACTGTATTCTTCTTGCTTCTTCTTCCTTTTCTGGAAGTTGTTCACTAACCAGATACTTCAGAATTGGCTCTCTCCAATCTATCTCGCCTTGTATGTTTGCCACTTCTCTTTTCTCATAACTTGGTTGAATTAACACATCAAAGAATGAATTCTCCAATGGTTGGCTTGTGGCAGCTGCTTTTGCAAGCTCATCGGCTTCCCCATTTTATTCTCTTGTTATAGCTTTTACTGTTATCCCAAGGAAGTGTTTTTCATTCAGCCTTGCTTCTTCCAAGTACTTTGTCATTGTCTCTTCTTTTGCTTCAAATGTCTTGGAAAAGTGACCTGCCACCAGCTTTGAATCGGTTTTGATTATCAATCGTCGAGCCCCTAGTGCTCTTGCCTTTCTCATGGCTAATAAAACTCCTTCGTATTCTGTTGTGTTG